AGCCAAGTTAGACATAGTAAGGATAAGGATGTTCTTATTCCCCAAAGTCCAACGGAAAAGACAGGTGATACCAGTAATGAGGGTATAATGAGAACCGAACAGGAATGGTATCTAACTACACTGTGGACACTCAGGAAAACTCCCAGAAGAACTGATACTTGAGCTAGGCATAGACTTCCAACCAGAAGGAACAATATTCACAAAATAATGGAGGCAGAAGAAAGCTCGCTGTGTACTAGAAACTGCAAATAGTTTTGAGTTAATGGAGTGAAGGCTATATGTGGATGTACAGCAGTATGAAGCTAGAGGGAGAGGTAGGGGTCAGATTTTGAAGGATTTTCCATCTTATTATTAAAGTGTTTGGACTACAACCAAAAGGCAGTGAAGATCTGCTGAAAGGTTTTAAGCTGGAAAAATGGAGGTTTCAGTGCTTCATGTTAGAAATAAACACTTTAGCAACAGAATGGAGGATATATTCAAAGAAGGTTTGAGGTGAAAAAAAAAAAGAAGAAGAAAAACTGTTGAGAGTTTCCGTAATAATCTGGGTGAGGCATTGTAAAAGCTTGAATGGAGGTAGCAAATGTGGTAATAAAGACAGGCAGACAGATAAAGGGAATATTAGAATAGAATAAAGATGACTTGGTTATTTAATCTCCGGTGGATTAAGGAAGGCGTTGAAGATGACTCTCAGGCATGGAGCACTGGATAGATGACAGTACCATTTACCAATGTAATAGAGATAATGAAGGAAGCTGGGGTGAAAGGTGCAGGCCGTGGTTGGGTGAGTTTAGTATAGGGCATGCCTTCGAGGATGGTTGGTAAATCATGGTCTCTGTTGTCCAAAAGATCTAGTCAGCAGAGCCAACTGAAGAGGTGAATTTGACCATAGGTGAGAGTGCTATAAATGGTAATCCAAACCAGCTGTTAACAGTTTTCTTTTTATTTCTAATCTAGCACATATTTGGTGCTCAGTAAATATTTGTTGAGTTGAAAGTATAATGGCTACAACCTTAACCCTGATCTCTTATATATATGCTTTGGGGGAATAAAGAGATTGATCTAGTTGTAGACAACTTTGTGGCACTTGACAACTGTGGGTCAAGTGGTGCTAGCCTAAGCAATGTAATTAATTCACAAATAGCTCCTCCTCCTCCTCCTTCTCCTCCCCCTCCTCCTCTTCCTCTTCCTCCTCCTCCTGGCACTGGGTATTGAACTCAGGGGCACTTGACCATGGAACCACATCCCCATCCCTATTTTGTATTTTATTTAGAGACAGGGTTTCACTGAGTTGCTTAGTGCCTCACAGTTGCTGAGGCTGGCTTTGAACTCATAATCCTCCTGCTTCGGCATCCCAAGCTGGTGGATTTACAAGTGTACACCACCATGCCCGCTCACAAATAGCTTCTTGATGACAGACTGTTGCTTATCATTTGAGCAGATTGGCACCAAATTGGCTCTTATTTGATTTTCCTAGGTATTTTTCTTATTATTAGTCAGCCTTCCCAGTTGTGACAGGTTTGGAGAAGCCTTGAAGTTCCTTTCCATGTGAGTGGGGTTGGATACCCTGTTCCACAGAGCTAGGGCTAGCCTACAGCAATCCAAGAAAGCCTATTTATTTATTATTAGCTAATCTGTTTTTGAACAACCTCAAAAGAAATGGTGAGATAAGTGCCCTAAAAGTAGTATGGCATGCTGTGTGTCACAACAAATTAAATCTTTTGTGCTCCAGGTCCTCTTATATTAGAGGTGCCCTGCTAATCATTTGGTTAAATTAAATGAATCAGTCTGATGCATTAGAATTTACAAAAAAAAAAAAAAAATGTTTTCATGTTATTGTATTTGATCTTCAGACCTCTACAAGTCCAAGTTTCATTCTCATTTTAAGTATGAGGAAATTAATATTCTATTGGTAATATACTATTGGCAAGAATGTTTTTTGTGTCTCTGATCTGCAGACAGAAACAGCCCTGTTGTCAGTTTCTCAATTCTGTTCTTCATGTTCCAAGTCGTATGCATCCTCAGTGATTATGAAAGCACCACTTACTCTGGACTCAGCTCGTGCCTGTTGAGATGCTCTTGTGTCACATGTTTCAAGAGGGTGGAGGAGTGAAGTTGGCCCGGAGTTCCTGGTGCAGGGCGTCTTTTCTTGCCTTAATAGAGCACTGGTTTATATTCACCACAAGTAGGCTGGCTCACAGAGTTAGGAGTAGCAGTAATTTTAAAAAATATAATAAACACATGTAACATGGTTTGAGCACTAAAATATGTACACTGGTTCAAGCTTAGTCATTGATTCCAGGAATACTTTCTTAAAAGAGTCCCTTTCTATTATTAGGTTCCTCTGTGGCATGTAATATGGTAAAGTGACCTTACCAGAAGTTAAGGCCTTAAGTGGCTTCTTTACATATGCACATTTCAAGCGAGCACGTGTAGACTATTGCTTGCCACTGCCTTTGGCTTCACTTAGATTGTTCATTTTTCCAAAGGTTCATGGGAATTCCTCCTCCTCCTCCTCCACTTAGAGCACTTGATGTTTCTTTAAACCTATAGGAATAGGTGCATCTTCTGTAGTGCTATCATCTTCTCCCCGTACTTTTTAAAAACTATTTTTTTCTGTGATGAGAAGCATTTAGCCCAGGAGGAAACTGTGTTTCCAGAATTTATCTCTCTCATAAATTGAAGTGTTTTGTCATTCATCTGTGAAGAAACACATCTCAGCTGCTGGTCATTTGTATTGTTTTCAGAGAAACATTTCACTATTTTGGATAGCACGTCTGATGTTGTGACCATGATTAGAGTGTCTGCTACCTGTGTCTCTCTCTTCCTGCCAATCAAATCTAGATTTTAGCTTCTCTGTTTGGAATTAGCATGATGATGCCTGAAACTCAGAGATATTTTTCAACCTGATCAGCTTCTCAAGAACATGTTATGATTGACTCATAATTGTACTGTGTCCTGTGTATAGTAATGAGTTAGGTATTTAGGAATGACAAAGTGACTTCTATAAGTATTCTCCTGAAGAGAATATGTTATACAGCCAAGATCATAAGACTACAAAGTGCTAAGTACTGTATGAGGCACATGGGAATTAATTCTCAGATTAACAATGTTACAGAAATATGACCAAAATGAATTGGAGTTGCTTAAGCTGCAGATAAATGTAGCAAATGGCAGCAGTTCTTGCTTTTGACTACCTCAGAGCCGAGATTCTTGCTTTATATTAACATTGGTGAGGCATCTTAAAAATCATTGTTGATTCTCAAAGTTCATTATGTTCCACCGCTTATTCCTAATCTTCTTGTTTTTATATGTGTTCGTTCATTTGTAGAGTATAAATGGCATTCGCACCGAGGAGGTGGCTGTCGTGACAAAAGGGTCATCTACTAACCCTGACTCTGAATGGGAGGGCCCCAAGCAGTTGGTAGTTCCTAGTGAGAGCCAGATGACCACCCCATCGGCGTCTCCACAGAGCTTTAAACTTGGCTCCCTCTCCACAAGCAGCAAGGAGACAGAGGAGAAGGAACAGGGGGCAGCTGGCTCTCCTGATACTAAGGAGATGCCAAGAGGCCCAGGTGGGGAATGTCCAGGAGTGGAGGGACAGGCCAGTGTCTTAACACCCTCAGTAACACCAGCTTCCTGTCAGCTGCAACTTGGTGAAAAAAAGGCAGACAGTAGTGAAGAACATGTCACACCAGGAGAGCCACTTGGAAAACAAAACGGATCATTTCTTGACTTACGTGTGGGTACCCAGTTCCCCACCCTCATTCGAAGTTTCCAGGTAGTGACTGATTGGATGACTCAGGTGTAATGACTCTCTGGGAGAGGGCCAGAATCTGTCCTATGGAGGAGGTGGTGGTGGTGGTGGTGAGGGTAGCAGCTTCTCTTCTTTTTTTCTGCAAAATCACAAAGTAAAATTAAAGCCTTTGATTATAATAAAGAAATTAATTCAGAGGAATCAACTCTATGACTAGGTACCTTCTCCCCTGATAACTTAACAAAACTCTTGGGAATAAATTCCAGCTATTTACTTTATGAAGCTGGTGTAAGTATGTTCATCCATTAGTTGTTCAAGTAAGTATAGGTGAAGGAAAGAGGTGAATTTTGGAGACTTCCGTGGTGAGGAACCTTCAGTGTTCTGAGACCATGTTCAAAAATTTCCATGACTCCTCACAGGGGCAACTGATCTTTTGATGAGATTTCAGGCCCCAAATAATAATCGATATACTATAGCCCCACTGCGTAGCCCACCACACCCACTGACCCTACTCCTAGGGGATTCCATGATTGTAGGCACTAATTCCCTGTGCCAAGGTGGATGGTCATTTAACCCAATCACAGTCCAGTGGTAGTTTTAAGGTGATTGGGGAAGGTGAGCAGATGGACAAGAAGGCCTTTGATATTCCACTAATGTTCATTCTTCTGAAATTCTGAGATTAATCACCAGGTGGTGGTAGAACTGATTTTTTTTCTTTCCAGTTTTTCAAATTCTGCTTCTTTTCAGTGAGCCCAGTGTGAATGTCTGACATTGATTTGAGAGAAGTTAATGAATCCCAGGGTAATGCATTCCAGTGCCTCTGCTGTTTCTTGTTCCGTTTTGTATTTAGTGGAGGAAATGTGGCCGATTTTCTTAATTATAATGGTACAGCCACAAGGACAAATGAAAGTGATGGCTATTTGGCAAATAGTTTTATATTCAAATTCTGAAGGTCAATCTGAAGTGTTTTATAATATAAGTCATAACTGTCTGATCTTAAAGTTTTCCATTAAGCTTATGAAAGTGATTACAGTAATGCTGCTTTTTAATATCCCTCATGATGTGACACCCTGTCGGGAGGACTTCGGAATAGAGTCCAAGACTTGGGCAGAGGAAACACCTTTGGAGATTCAGCTCACCCTTTGCTTGATTCTAGCTAAAGCTTTGATCAGATCAATGTCAGAAGGTTTAGTTCTTCAAGCCTTCAGCAAGACTCTGATAACTCTGTTACTTTACTACTTCACAGCCCCCACTGGTGAAGACTCAGACTGTCACCATCTCAGATACTGCAAATGCTGTGAAAAGTGAAATCCCGACCAAAGACGTCCCCATTGTCCACACCGAGACCAAGACCATCACTTATGAGGCTGCCCAGGTAGGACACCACAGGATGCTTCATAACAAAGACTGGAGTAGATACAACAAATGTTCACAGGATTTCTAATCATTTTCGGCAAATAATAACAGCTTTTTTCCTGGGAAGTTCTTTTTAGAAGGGATTACTGATCTGAGAATACCTTATTAAAAGCAAGATTGTTGTGGCTAGAGGTGTGGCTCAGTGGTAGATTGTGTGCTTAGGATGAGTGAGGCCCTAGGTTCAATCCTTAGCACCAACCAACCAACTAACAAACAAAATTATCTTGGGTCTGACTGCTTATTTCCACCTAATTCACTTGGAAAGTCAATCTAGAGTGATGGTTAAGAATATGGGTCAGATAAACCAAGTTCATGTCTCAGCCCCTCCATTTTTTATTATTATTAATAATATTTATTTTTTAGTTGTAGTTGGACACAATACCTTTATTTTATTTATTTTTATGTGGTGCTGAGGATGGAACCCAGGGCGTCGCATGTGCTAAGTGAGCGCTCTGCCACTGAGCCACAACCCCAGCCCTCAACATAAAATTTTTAAAAAGAGCTGAGGATGGTAGTAGCTCAGTGGTAGAACACTTGCCCAGTATGTGTGAGGCACTGGGTTTGATCCTCAGCACCACATAAAAATAAGTAAAATAAAGGTTTAAAAAATATAATAACAAAAAAGAGGGGCTGGGGATGCAGGATGGTGCTTGCCTAGCATGCGCCAGGCCCCAGTTCAATCCCCAGTACCTTAAAAAAAAAAAAAAAAAATAGCCAGTCTTCCCAAACTTCTGTTTCTTTGGCTATAAATGGGGGATAATGTATCTACCCACTGTAAGATTTGGAGGAAGATTAGGTGAAATAAAGTCCAGAGTGTAGGATTTTAGTTTGATAAATGAGAAGTTGCTTAAAGTTCTCTGGTGGGGGTAATAAAGAAGCATAATTAAAGCAATGATCTTATAAGAGGGTTCCTAAAGCTGTGTGCTACATATATTAAAGTTGGGGGGCTAGAGACAAAATTATAACTAGGGTGGATCTGGGAAGATGCTTATAAAGAGCTCAAGTATAACCTTAGGAGAGGAGAGATAAATCAACCAAGATAGAGAGCCTGGCATGGCGTGCATGACGGTAATCTCAGCTGCTTGGGGGAGGCTGAGGCAGGAGGATCACAAGTTTGAGAAGCCAGCCTGGACAGTTTTCTTTCTTCTTCCTTCTTGTATTCATTCATTCATATATGTGTACAAATTGGGGATCCAACCTAGGACCTCACGCATGGTATGGCTGGGCAATTTAGTGAGACCCTATTTAAACAAAATTTTTTTTTAAAGGGCTCTGGGTAGAACTCAATGGTAGAGAACTTGCCTAGCATGCAGGAGACTCTGGGCTCAATCCCCAATACCTCCCCCTCAAAAAAAAATAAGAGTGAGAGAAAGAAAAATGAATGAGTAGGACTTGGCAATGAAGAGGACTGAGAAAAGGAAGGAATCAAAAATTAATTTAAGATTGTGTATGCTATTATGCCAGAGGATGTAGAAAATGAATTACTTACATATGGGAAGGAATCCCTTTAAACTCTCACTACCATGGAAACAACCTAAATGTCCATCAGTAGAGAGCTGGTTAAGTACATTATGGAACATCTAATTAAGGTAATTCTACGTGGCTTCTGCATGGGAACGAGCTTCGTGATAAATCTGTGAATGCTGTGGTATGGTGTGAATAACATGCTACTGTTTGTGGAAGGGAAAAGGAAAGTATATATAGCTGTGTATGGAAGAGCTATGTGTGTGGGCTTGGATAGCAGTATACTCTCTCTGAATGGATACTACAAAAAACTAAAATAAAATAACAAGAAGTGTGCTGGCCTCTGATGAATGAAAATGAAACTGTGGGACTTCTGGTCAGAAGTAGGAGGGAGACTGCCTTTTCACTTTATACCATTTTGAAGTTTTTGAAGTTTGTAGCCTATACACACCCTCCCCCGCAAAAAAGTAATGGTTCAAAAGAAATTTTTCTAAAAATTAGGGCCACACGCTGCCCACAGAAGTCTATGCGGAAGAAAGCAGTCACTTCAAAATAAACTGAGAGAGATGGGGTTGGGGGAGGGCCCCATGGCTGCCCATCCGCTGAGCCCTGCTCCAGGGAGTCAGCTTGCTGAAGCTCCCAGGGAGTGGGGCCATATAAGCCCCAAGCCCAGAGCTGCATGCTGGAACTGTAGTGGCCATCTCCATGGACACAGTGTATGGCTCAAGCAAGCAGCTCAACAGCACTGGATGTGTACACCGCCTCAAGGGCTGCAGCAAGGCCAAACTGCTTGCAGTATGCTTGGGCAGCATGACCGAGGTCTACAGCTTGTAAGGGTCTGGATTCCTAGCTGTGTCTTCATGCAGGACTTGGCCCAGATGTTTGGGGGACCTCTTGCTCTTACCAGTATCCCCTCAGCTCTAACGTGGTTGACTTATCTATGCCTAGAAAGCTTAGGCTTGTTCATCCAGGCTGTGCCCTGGAAAGCACACAGCCATCCTCGAACAGAAGTACAGGCTCCTCCCCTCACAGGGGTCCTGCCTATGAAATTTGGAAGGACCCAAGGACAGTGCTGATACCTTGACCATCTACTGGTTGTTTACAAGGCCTCATTTGTAGAGGCCACTGGAGTCACATCACAAGCCCCACCTTTTAGGCAGTGCATCTTTTCTGAACACTAGACCAGAAGCTGCTGGTTTAGTCTCATACTGTGGGGGAAGGTTATATTTGTTCTGTAGTTGCATATATCAGCCAAAAGCTGGAAAAAAAAGAGATTAAGAACATTCCTAGGGTGGTCTTAATTCTGATCAGTTTCTTCTTTCCCTCCCTCTCTCTCTTTGAAATTAAAAAGTCAGCTGGGCACAGTGGGGCAAGCCTGTAATTCCAAGAATTTGGCAGACTGAGGCAGGAGGATCACAAATTCAAGGCCAGCCTTAGCAACCTAGGGAGGCCCTAAGCAACTTTGTAAGACTGTCTCTCTCTCAAAATTTTTAAAAAGGCTTGGAATGTAGTTCAATGGTAAAGCATCCCTGGGTACAACCCTCAGTACCTCAAAAAAAAATTTTAATTGAAAAATAATTTAAAGGATTTAGAATCTAATGAGAGCAATGTCTCTGGGTGATAGCATTTTAAGTTCAAGCCAGCTGGAAATGCTGGTGCAGTTTAAAAGTCAGGTGACCAAAGGCAGTTCCTCAAGCTGGAACCAGATTATAGAACCACATGCCAAAAACATTCATAGGAGAAAAGAGAGCCTTTTTAACAAATGGTACTAGGAAAACTGGTTATCCATATAGAGAGAATGAAACTAGACCCTTATATTTCAACTTGCATAAAAATCGACTGAAAATGAATCAAAGACCTAAGAATTAGGCTGTGTGCTGTGGTGCATGCCTTAATCCCAGTGGCACTAGGCAGAGGCAGGAGGATCGCAAATTCAAAGCCAGACCCAGCAAAATCAAGGCACCAAGCAGCTCAGTGAGACCCTGTCTCTAAATAAAATACAAAATAGGGCTGGAGATGTGGCTCAGTGGTCGAGTGCCCCTGAGTTCAATCCCCGGTACCAAAAAGAAAAGAAAAGGGGAAAAAAAGATCTAGGAATTAGACCAGAAACTAACACTCCAGTGTGTAAGCACAGGCAATAACTTTTTCAATAGAACCCATAAAGCTTGGGAAATAAAGCCAAGAGTTAATAAGTGGGTTGGCATCAAATTAAAAAGTTTTTGCACAGCAGAGGAAACAATTAAGAATGTGAAGAGAGAACCTATAGAATGGGAGAAAAATCTTTGCTAGCTATTCTTCTGACAGAGGATTAATATCTAGAATATATAAAGAACTCAAAAATTTAATGCCAAAAAATCAAGTAACCCAATTAATAATGGACAAATGAGTTAAAAAGATACTTCTCAAAAAAAAAAAGAAAGAAAGAAATACAAAAGGCCAACAAATAAAATATGTTCAATATTATTAGCAATTAGGGAAATGCAAATCAAAACTACACTATGATTTTCTCTCATACCTGTCAGAATGGCAGGCATAAAAAGTTCAAGTAACAACTGCTGGAGAGGATGTGGAGAAAAGGAACACCACTTGACACTATTGTTGGGATTGTAAATTAGTACAACCACTATGAGAATTTGGAGGTTCCTCAAAAAACTAGGCATGGCCACCATATGACCCAACTATACCACTCCTCAGTATTTATCCTGAAGAATTGAAGTCATCATACTACCGTGATATATGCATAGCCACGTTTATAGCAGCTCAGTTCACTATGGAACCAGCCTAGGTATCCGCAAACAGATGAATAGATAAAGAAAATGTGGTCTGTATACCCAATCGAGTTTTATCCAGTCATAAAGAAAAACAAAATTTTGTCATTTGCAGGAAAATGGATGGAACTAGAGACCATATGCTAAGTGAAATAAGTCAAACTTAGAAGGTTAAGGGATGTATGTTTTCTCTCATATGCTACAGAAGCTAGAGAGGAAAAAGGAAGAGAAAGGTGGGAACAGGTCTCATGAAAATCAAAGGGAGATCAGTAGAGGAAAGGGACCAAGGGGTAGCGGGAGGGAAGAAAGAGGGAAATGTCTGGGAGTGACGGTGTCTAAATTATATTGTTATATTGTATGCATGTGTAAATATGCAACAACAAATCCCGTCCTGTGTACAGTTATAATGCATCAATTTAAAAAATGGGGGGGGGGGGGGCAGGGGATTGTAGAACCACACACCAAACATTTCCCTCCAAACCCGTGGGGCCAGTGATGTGGTTTGTTGTGATTGCCTGGTGGGGATAATTATCATTTTGGTCTAATGGTGGAGATTTGCTGGGGGCGTCCAAATTAAACAATATTGGAAACAAAAATCCTTTCTGCCAGGGACTTTTTCTTATTTATTCATGAAATAAGTTATAGCTAATTGTATGTATGATGTCTTTATTTAACTGTAGTGTTTACTCAGCACCTTTTATCTTTATTCATATGTATGCCAAATGTTAAACATAATTAATGTTGGACATTTGAACTTTTTTTTTTTTAACCATAAAAAATGCTATTAGCCAGACACAAGTGGCACATACCTGTAATCCCAGCAGCTCACGAGGCTGAGGCAGGAGGATCTCGAGTTCAAAGCCAGCCTCAGCAAAGGCGAGGCCCTAGGCAACTCAGTGAGACCCTGTCTCTAAATAAAATACAAAACAGGGCTGGGGATGTGGCTCAGTGGTCGAGTGCCCCTGAGTTCAATCCCTAGTACCCGCCCCCCCCAAAAGAAAAATGCAGTTAAACATATTTTTAAATGGTTTTAAAAAATAATGTAAGAGAAATATAAAGTGAGCAAGATGCCTGGACAAATTACACCAGCTTTGGAGTTAGGGATACTTAATTTCAACACTTGCTAATTTTTGTTTGTTTGTTTAATATTTATTTTTTAGTTTTTTTGGTGAACACAACATCTTTATTTTATTTTATGTGGTGCTGAGGATCGAACACAGTGCCCCGCGCATGCCAGGCAAGTGCATTACCGCTTGAGCCACATCCCCAGCCCACTTACTAGTTTTTTGACCTTGGGCAAATCATTTAACCTTTTTGAACCTTAGTTTTCTCTTCTGGAAATTACTTTTTATAGAATTATTGAAATAAATATCATATTTGCCTGAGACATATATAGTAACTATTCAAAAATGGTAGTTCTTAGCAAATTGCATTTTATACATTGATCCTATTTTGTTTTAGCCATGCATAACAGTCAGCCAAGATACAAATTGCTTTTTAGGATTCATGTTAGACAGTGATGTGCAGTGGGAAAGAGTGTTGCCCATAGAATCAGATTTCCTAGGTTTGAACCTGCTTCATCACTTCCTACCTAGTGTGTAGTCAGGTTACTAAATTGTTCTGTGCCTCAGTTTCCTTGTTTGTAAAATGTGACTAATAGTTCTAGCTCACAGTACTGTTATGAAGAATAAATTAATATATGTAACATGCTTCCAAAGTGTCTGGCACATAATAAGCACCAGGTATCTATTTGCTGCTGTTGTCATTTACTGTAACCATTTCTGCTGCTTTTTTTTATTGTCTTGCTTGACAAGTAAGCACAAGTATCATTTTTTTTATTCACAATCTCCACACTTTGGAACAGGTGGTGAAATGAGATAGGGATCTGGGTTAGGTTTTTTATTTATGCCCACAAGTGTGCATTTGTGGTAAAATTTACATACTTTATGTCTGGCTTCTTTGAGTGTTGTGTTTCTTAGATTCATCTGTATTACGTGAATCCATAGTTCATGCTTATCTATGGCTGAATAGTACTCCATTGTATTAATATATCTCAATTTTTTTATCCTTTCATTTATTAATGAACAAGTGGCTTAGTCCCAGCTTGGAGTAAATGTGAATCAAACTGCTGTGAATATTCATGTACAAGTCTTTGTGTGGACATATCTTGGGTGAACACCTAAGAGTAGAATTCCTGGGTTATAGGGTAAGTGGGCGTCTATAAGCTGTTGTGAAAGCCACAGTATCATTTTTTTTTTCTTGGTTGTAGATGGACACAATACCTTTATTTTGTTTATTTAATTTGTTTATGTAGTGCTGGGGATCAACCCAGTGCCTCATGCATGCTAGGCAAGTGCTGTACGACTGAGCCATAACCCCAGCCTCAAAGCCACAGTATCATTTTGAGAAACATTGGTTAGAGGATCAAGAAAGGAAGGGGCCCCGTGTAGGAAGAATGAAAATAGTCAGCTGTAACAGTGTCGCCTCCATTTCCACCTTCTTCAGAGAGAGAGTAGAAGAGTGGGTGGGAGGTGGGGACAGTGACAGATTTATAGAGGAGAAGCTCTGCACAAAGCTTCAGCAGTCCTTGCATGAAAATTTATATTCTTACACTAGTTTATAAAGAACTTCTATTTCTATAATTTCTTTTGATTTTCACAACAGTGATATGGTATCTGCAGAGCACATATTACAGCATAATATGTGAAAACTATAAATGAGAAAACTAAGGCTCAGGAAAGGCAAACGACTTTCCCCGTCCCACAGCTAGTTACTGTCTGAGCTGGGACTCAAACTCCAGTCTTCACACAAGAAGTCTCTTGCCTGGTCTGCATCCTAGTTCAAACACCTACTAGGTTCTACTGTAGAACCTTGGACAAACTATTTGACCTCTCTGGGTCATACATTTCTTAACAGCATAGTGAATATAATAATAGTATCTTCTCATGATGTTGAGAAGCATCATTGAGACAACAGTTGCATGATGTGCTTGACACATAGTAGAAATGCAGTAAATGTTAGTTGAATCTGAATCTGGGCTAAAGAAAATGTTATTGAACTAATTCTATACCTGGTATGACTTAGGGGTCACAGTGTCTCTCTCTTTAATTTTTATCCAGATGCCCACCTGTAGAGGAACCCAACCAAGGACTCTGTTCCTTCCTTATTCTCTTCTCCTCCATCTGCCCCCCTCAATATCTCAGGGCTTTTGGGTAAATTAAATGTGGTCCTGTTCTTAAATATAATGCCAAGTAGTGGCACACACCTGTAGTCCCAGCTATTCTGAAGGCTGAGGCAGGAGGATCATCCAAGATCAAAATTCAGAACTAGCCAGGGCAACATAGCAACACCACATCTCAAAAGAAAAATAAAGCTGACAGCCTTTAAACAAATATACTTTTTTAAAAAACTACTTACAGGGCTGGGAGTGTAGCCCAGTTAGAGGGCTTGCCTACATATGTGAGGTCCTGGGTTCAATTCCCAGCAAAAAAAAAAAAAGAAAAAAAATTGTGGAAGTCATTTGTGAACTATAAAATGTACCTGTGACCTATGTATAGTATGTCACTCTTGTTGAACCTGTGACTGCACTCCTGCCTCCTCTTTCTGATCCACTCCTATCCTTGACGTGCTAAGAAAACCATATACATTTGACATTGTTAGAGGCGCCTTCTTCCCTGGGATTTATTCTATTAAGAGTTCTCTGTAGAACTAGGATGTAGCTTAGTGGTAGAACACTTGCCTTGTCTTGAGGCCCTGGGTTCAATCCCCAGTAAAACACATACACACCACAAAAGGTCACTATAAGGGAATTTGATTATTGCATTAGAATGTACCATTGAAGAGCACAGTTGCAGCCTGCAATATTTGCCAAGCTTCCTGAGAGGCATGATGATGAGTTGTAATTTCTTCTGCAGACTGAGGACAGCAATGGGGACTTGGACCCGGGAGTCTTGCTGACAGCCCAGACCATCACATCTGAGACCACAAGCAGCACCACCACAACTCAGATTACCAAGGTAACAGGCCAGCTAGAGCTTCCCTAGGGAATCCAGTGGCCTGTCGAGCTTGCTGTTGGCCCTGGGGAAGGAGGACCCTATTCCTATGGAACCAAATTATTCCAAGTGTCCCAGATAGAAAGACCCTCTTGCTTTCCCTGGCAGTAAATCAAGGAAGGCCCTGAGCGTATCCCAGCCCACTTGGTACTTTCACAAAGTCACATGTCGTCACTCTTTACAAATCTGTCTGTCTTTCCAGCTGTGCAGGTGCAGGTAAATTTAAAAATCAGCTTGGGCTGAGGGTATAGCTCTGTGGCAGAGTGTTTACCTACCATACTCAAGGCCCTGGGTTCCGTCCTCAGCACGCACGCACACACACACACACACACACACACACATACACACGAAAGTCAGTTTAAAGGCAGGAATTGTTGATTTAATAGTGATCATATTTTATTTCTAAGCCAAAAATCAGAACTCTGGGTCTAACAAAGAATTTTTATGTCATGTCCAGGGTTAGGGTCAGGGGAGCTATAGTTTGAGAGCTGAAATATTAAACTTACTAGGATATGGTCTATAGGAAACAATAGAGACAAAACATCTAAAATTGGAACTACCCTCAGAAAATCAAATTTACCTGCACCTGCTATAGTACTAGAGGAAAATGCATTTTCTCATGGGTAATAAATTCAGGTTCTTGACCAAGCTCTGTCATTAATACAGATGACTGATCTCAGTTTTCCTCATCTGTCATGGAAACCTACCAGCCTTCAGGAGATTATCTAAAATATCTTTTGACATCAATAACATGAAAGTAATTTTAAAATAAAAGATCCCAATTTCAAACTGTGTGGCATTTTTATTCATAGTGTATTCTGATTTTTTTTCCTCCTAAAAGTAATCAAATGGAAATATATAGAAGAACAAAGAGAGACACTTGTTTTGTTTACTTGCTGAATTTCTCTGGTGTTTGGGAGGAAGAAAAAAGGAGACAGTAAATGGAGAACCGTGGTTTTCTGTTCAGCTTATTAAAAATCTCAGTGAGCTCCAGGGTGGAGATGTGCTCATCTTAATAGGTTCTGCCAAGATTTTGGACATGTGGGTAAGAGGCTGTCCTTTGCAGGTTAAAATTTGGAGCGCAGCTTTCAGAATAATCGTTGCTATTTTGTTTTTTCTTTCTTGTTACATTGCTGATCTCCTATGACCATTTTCCTTTGGTTACAGACTGTAAAGGGTGGAATATCAGAGACCCGGATTGAGAAGAGAATTGTGATCACAGGAGATGCTGATATTGACCATGACCAGGTAGGAATGCAGGGAAATTTTGAACTTGGGAGGGCAGGAAGATCAATGGACATGAGAGTGCTGTGTACAAAGGGTATCTCTGCCAACTTCATTTCCAAAAAGCTTCACAGCCATAGCTTTTGAGAAGAAGAACAGGACTGAGAAGGTAGAGGCCTGTGGGTGGGGGCAGCAGAAGGGGAGCTAGGAGGTGTAGCGGAGGAGCTTGGGCTGTGCGTGGACCTAAGAATTGGGCTCAGATGCTGGCTCTCATTGTATTTCAGCACTCAACTCCCCAGGCCTCTGATTCCTCACCTGTCAGCCAGGGATGATGGTGCCCTCTCTCAAGGTTGCCTGCAGATCTAGTGAGGTGCTGGATGTGCAGCCTGAGACCCATGGTGGGCTCCATGTTATGAAGGAGGAATAATGTCCTAAATCTGTGCTAGATTATATTGCAACAATAGAAAGGCTCGGTCCCTGCCCCAGGGCACTGTAATAGCTGAGGAGAGAACTGGGAGAGTGCAGCGTGGTGGGCAAGACACCAGAAGGCTGGGACTTGGTTTCTGTCCTAGATCTAACACTAACTTGCTGTGTAACACTGGGCAATTCACTGCACCCCTGTTTTACCTCTCCTAAAAGAGAAGAGGTTGATCTAAATAATTTCTGGGCCCCTTCCTGGTGCTAAAATTCTATGTTTTTATGTTAATTAGGTGCTAATTGTGTGCTGCAAGCAATTAGCAAATAATAAGGTCAGGATTAATGTTCCCAATTCTCTTCTGGATGAGGTTAGAACAGTAAAGCTGCAGAGGAGAGGGGGTGGAAGAGACTGCATACAAATGCTTCTGGAATCATTGACAGGATTGCTAGAGCAGTAATTCTGTGGCCTTTATGCTGATATGCTGACTGCCTGAAGAAGAAGAAGAAAAAAAGAACTAAGCTGCAGTGCTGGCAGTTCCCTCGGTAGCAGGGTTGAGACTTACAGCAGGGAAACTGGGCTCAAGGTCCCAGAAACAAGACTGCAAATCCCAGTGGAATTTGCACTTGTATGTAGATGGCATGAAGACCCCCCACTACTATGTATCATTATAATGCACCAATTTTAAAAAAGCCCTTCGAGAGACCTTGCAGGCCACATGCCCAACTCGGTGGGCCCTGCCTTCCCCAGCCTGCAGCTGGGTGATTCGAGCCTCGCTGTGCTGGACAGTAAGCATGAGAAAGAAGGCGATCATGGTGTCAGGAAGACAAACCGTGCTGCATCCTGGCTCTCAACTTACCAGTGCCCTGGAGCAACTTACAGTAACTACTTCTGTGAGCTGTAGTTTGACCATCCCTGAAATAAGGATCATCACGGGTTTCTTTAGGGTCATTGTAAAAAAGGGGAGCAAGCACACCTGAGAGCTCAGAGAGATGCTCCGATGAACCAACATCAGAGCAGTGTTGCTTCTAGGAACTGAGGACCGTGTGGAAGGAGACGACGTGGTCTCTGACTGGGGAGGGAGGGCTTTAGGCAGGGAAAGTAGTGTGGCACAGCTTTTCAGGGAGAGGGGGAGGCAGAGTCACAAGGAGAGGGCTTGCACTGGGTCTGAAATATGAGCAGATGGGTTAGAAAAGCAGGAATGGTGAGCAGGGGCCCGTGGAGGTGGCAGGTCTAAGAATGGCTTTGATGGAGCCAAGAGACCAGGAGAGAATTTTGCTCTTTTTCTGTCCTGAGATGGTCCTTAGGATCTAGGGTGAGCATGAGCAGTTGGCTGGTCAGTTCTAGCCAGAGTCCCTTTTTTGTTGCTGTTGTTGTAGATGAACAGCATGCCTTTACTTTATTTTAATGTGGTACCGAGAATCGAACCCAGTGCCTCACACATGCGAGGCAAGCGCTCTGTCACTGAGCTACAGCCCCAGCCCCCAGAGTCCTTTCTGATATGGGATCTGCTCAGAGGCTGGCAGCCAGGAGGGGTGCCACTGCCCTCCTTTGACTTTTCTGTGGTAATGCAAACTCTTCCAGGTGCTGAAACAGGGTCCCCTCAGAAACTAAAAGACAAGGTGGTAAACTTAAACTTCCTGTTGCATTACTTATTACCTGTGAAACAATAAGCACTTTATTTAACCTTCAGCTTCCCATTCTATAAAACACAAATAATGATACCATCCTAATTTTCTCACTTTGAGAAGATCAAGTAAACAATAGCAGGGCGTGATAGCACACACCTGTAATCTTAGTGACTCAGGAGTCTGAGGCAAGAGGACCAAAAGTTGAGGCCAGTCTCAACAACTTGGTGATACCCTAAACAACTTAGTAAAACCTGTCTCAAAATAAAAAGGGCTGGGAAAGCTTGGCATGGTGGTGCACGACTGTAATCCCAGCTGGTTTGGAGGCTAAAGCAGGAGGATTGTGAGTTCAAAGCCAGCCTCGGCAACTTAGTGAGGCCCTAAGCAACTTAGTGAGACCCCGTGTCAAGATCAAACATAAAAAGGGCTGGGAATGTGACTCAGAGGTAAAGCACCCCTGGGTTCAGTTCCCAGTACAAACAAAAAGATTAAATAATAAGTAATGGGCTCAGGCCAGTGTTCGGTGCATCACGGGCCATCCACTGGTCCTTCCTGTCTTCTACTTCAGCCCTGACATTTCTTCCTTTTTTTATCACACACTTCTTTCCTTTCCTGTCCTGAACTTCCTGGTTACCTCTTGGGTGGGAGAAGGTCAGGGATTTGGGGATAGGACATTTCCTAGATGGAAGAAGGAAGTACATTGTTAAATCCTGCAAAGGAGAAAACTGTGTTGAACAGATTTTGTCCTATAGATTCCCTGCTTGCTCCTCTGAGACCCGCCCAGTTAGGTGTGGTCACCCCTGAGGTCCCTCTCTGATGCTCTGAAGACAACTCTTGCCTTCCCTTTCTTGTCCTGTTGGTCCAGGAGCCTCCCTGGGCAGGAGAGGGTGGGAAGATGGTCATCAGCTTAGCTTATGCCGCCATGGTGCAGCCTGAGCTGGGTCAGCTCTGGCCCTTGCCGGCCTTCACAAGCCAGCCTGTTTTTTCCTGATGGGCATTGTTTCTTTTATAGGTCCTTGTACAAGCCATCAAGGAGGCAAAGGAACAGCACCCAGACATGTCTGTGACCAAGGTGGTTGTCCATCAGGAGACTGAGATCGCTGAGGACTGAGCTCAGGTAATAGGTGTTCCTGTTGGGGTTGAAGATGCCACTGTCCCAGCCTGAGAGCTCTGGCAGGAACTCTGGAACCCACTCTGGGAACCCATCACTCCAGAGGGTGTCCACACTGGGACTTGATAAAGGAAAGGCAGAGGAGATAGTGAATTATTTTACTTTAACCAAAGCAGGCTGCTGGGGCTGAGGTTGTAGCTCAGTGGTGGAGTGCTTGCCTACCATGTGTGAAGCACTGGGGTTGAGCCTCAGCACCACATATAACTACATATATATATACATACATTCACACATAAATATATTGTGTCTGTCTCCAACTAAAAAAAGTAAAAATAAAAAAAAAAAATTCATGGGCTGGGGATGTGGCTCAAGCGGTAGCTCACTCACCTGGCATGCGTACCGCCCAGGTTCGATCCTCAGCACCACATACAAACAAAGATGTTGTGTCCGCCAAAAACTAAAAACTAAATAAAGATTCAGAATCATAAAAAAAAAAAAAAAAAATTCACAGTGCCAAAGCAAGCTGCTGTTGTGTCCTGTCCTGAACAGTACCAGCAGTTTGGGGTAGGAAGAGGGACACCAAATTTGGATATAACATCCCACCTCCTGACTCCTCCTGCCCCCCTGCTTCTCCACTTCAACTCACCCCCTTTTGCTCTGCTCTCTGTGGCACCGGCATCTCTGGAATTTCCAAGCCCGAGCCTGGAAGGATCAGAGAACTGTCACAAAGAGCCAGATCAGGGTATCTGTAAGTGTGCAGATTTGGGACAGGTGGGAAAAGGCAGTGACACTCTGGGGCCAAAAACTAGAAGCAGGAAGCTACTTTGGGGAGCCAAATAACACAGTTTACAAAGGATTTGAGAAAACTATCAATCACAAGGTAGGATATGCCCAGTGCTCAGGTTCTGATTGTCAGTTAAAAGGCCACAAGAACTTGGCAGTGGGAGTGGGAACAGAATTTAACAATGTGCTTCTTTCCTTCCTCTAGGAACTGTCCTGCCCCCAACTCCCTACCCTTCTCCCATCCAAGAAAAACCAGCGATGATACAGAGCCAACCTGCAATAGTCAGACTTCAGATTTTCAAGATTACTTTAAACCACCAGGAAGTTTTCTTCATTTTCTATTTGGAGTTTATACCAAGAGATTCTTCTAGCTATCACTGATCCTTTTGAAGACCTTTTTCTATATTGTGATACCAGAAATTGCTCAGCTTTTCACTCTATGGACTATTTCTAAAGAGTTTTTTACGGGGTGGTTTGTAACCCCTCCAACCTAGCCTCTCCCCATTTATTTCCAGCCCAGATTCTAACAGGGTCCACAGAATTCTTCAGGAAATCCTCCAGAGACCCTGTCAGCTGTGTTGGAGGCCAAAGTCAGCTCAGTGGGACTCCCGCTCCTGCCCTAGTTTTACGCCCTCTGGATGACAGCGGAAGCTTCATGAACCAGCTCTTTCTCAGAGCTAAGATGCCACTTTACCAGAATGTCAGGCAGCATGACTGCTCTGATCCACAGACCCCCAGAAAAATGTCCTGTCCCTCTGTTAGAGTGTTTTTGGTGAGGCAGAGACCTCCGCTGAGAATGTAGTGCTGTTCTCCCTCCCTCCCTCCCTCCCTCCCGCGCGCTCTGTTTTGGAGCTTCTTTTGGTCAGAGACATAAGAAATTGCTTCAGGTAGATCTGATACTGTGAATGTTTGAACATACCCGTGGCCTTCACCTCCCCAATTGCCCTTGTACCTCAGCAGCAGCGGTGGCTCTGCCAAGCACTCCCCTAGGCTCCCGTCTCAGGAGACCAAAACTCACGGAAAAGTAGGCACCTTTGGCCAAAAGCTCTAATGGAATGTTTTCAGTGGCAGTTTGGGGAAGGAAAGCTAATGAGGTTTTTAGAATAAGGTGTTCTAGTTCTGGGAGTGCGCACTTCATCCTGAGGAGTGGCGCTTACCTCAGTCTACTAAGGAGTGTTTCAGGTAACCAGGTCTGGGCCTTTCTTTTATTGTCACAAGGGATGTAGCTCAGACAGGAGGCTGTGTTCTCTGACCTTCCTCCTGAGAGGCACCTGCCTGAGGACATCCTTCTGGAGCAAGGGGATTATCGGCTTCTAGGGACCATCCCTCCCATAAGACACCACATGACGGGTATAAGCCCTAGGGCTGCTCATCCCCCCTCGCCACCTGAGGTCTGTCAGGTTTTGTGGACTTGATTTGTGGTGAGTTTTGGATTTAGGTTTTTTATTTGCCTTGGTTTTGAAAGTGAGGACTGATGTCCCCAATTCCTGGTAAGGATTTGGGGCATTTTTATTCAATAGGGCTTCTCTAATCCTCCAGCTTGCTTCCCACAACAGATCTGCCTGGAAGCTTCTTAGAATCCTAATTCTAGGCTAGAAGCGAACTTCATGAGATTAGTCAGTGAGTCACTGACAGCGATCACTGGGGCTCAAGGACACTGAGCATGAGCACAGTCTGAAGCCAGCAGCACGTGTCCAAAGTCTCTACTAGCCGAGTGTTACTTAGACAAACTCAGCTGATTTGAACTGATTGCGAGTGTGTGCGTTTTTTTCTTTTAGTTCTCACGTGAGACCACTATTGCCAACAGGCAGCTCAGGAGGGAGGGGAGAGTCGGGGGAGTTATGACAGGCTGGGGAGCAGTGGGTTGTTCTGTCTTAGGAGCAGATGTACAGGCTGTGGCATAGGGTCTGACATGATGAGGCTTTCTGGGGGCCCCAGCCAGGACTGTGTTGTCAGGTCTGAACCCCTGTCCCATCAAACAGACGGATAATGAGCTTACTTTCAAGTGGCCAGGTGTCCTGCTGAAGGAGCCACCAGTGCTCACGATGCTGAAACCTAGAGCTGGGCGCAGTGGTACGCACCCAGGATCCCGGCTGCTTGGGAGGCTGAGGCAGGAGTTTTGTAAGTTTGTATCCAGCCTTAGCAACAGAGCAAGACCCTATCTCCAAAACAAAAACTGGAGACCTGTGGGAGGAAGAGGATGGGCGAAGGGAGGGGCGCATGCATGTCTCTTCAGCATCCCCAATGTTCTGTGCTATCCAGATCAGTGTGGCAGCCTTCATAGCACAGGACCTTGCATCTGGGGGCCTAAGCTTTCCTCAGCTCTGCCGCCAGCTCCCTCCTCCTCTGTCAGTTGAACCAGAATTACACTAACTTCCTCCCAGGCCACTTCCCCTTCCTCCCATTCTGGCAACAGATCTTGGAGTTTGGCAATTGTTTGGATTTTTTTTTTCTTTCATTCTGCAATTGTGTGTATGTGTATGAGAAGAAAAAAACAGACTGTCCAGGTAGAAATGGTAAAGCGTGGGGAGGAGAGTCACATTTCCAGGATCCCAGACAGCGATTCCTAAAGTGACTCAGACACACCACAGTAACAACTCTCACTGCCATTTTATTTTTACTTCAGAACTAAAGATTTCCTTCAAACCACAGGAGAGCTCTGCCACCTACCCACAAAGCAAGGTCTGCACTCACAACCAAGGGCCCAGGAAGCCTAACTGCAGGGGACATCATTCCCCGCCCCCACTGGGGCCATCACTATATTCTGGGGGAACCTTGAGCAGCCAGGGGTGAGGAGACCACCATCTACCTTGGGAAATGGAGCCAGAGCTATGGCTTGACCAACACCCCTTGATGCTCATGGGAAACCTCTGCCCAGGAGCTCAGCCCCAGGCTGGTTGTTTTTACAAATCTCTCTCAAATGTATTATTTTGGTGACAAAAATGAAGGAGCTTTGTAAATTTTAAAAATTATGAATCATATCAAGTAGTTGTTTACATTTCTTGACAAAATAGGAACCATGGCAGCAGAATCAAATTGGCAAAATCTCTAGATTAAATAGGCAATAATTAGGTCTGCTGTTTTGGCCTTTTGTAGTAAGAGAAGTGGTTGTAGTGTTTAGATATGTATTTGGTCTTGCTTCTTGTATTGCATTTTTCAATAAACTTCAAAAAAAAAAAAAAAGCCCACTGACTCTAAGGATTGATCTACTTTTGTATTTCTCTTCTATCAGTAACTTGGGGAAAATTAAAGCTGGATGGGGAGACCAAACCTGAAAACATTTTCTAAAGTAAGCTCCCCACATTGGCCCAAATGCAGCTTCAGTGTTGTACAAAGGGGTTTCTGAGAACTGGCAAATGCTTTTTGCCGGCTGAAGGGAGATTGCGGCACAGGCCACAATAAAAAAAAAAGAAAGAAAGAAAGAAAAAGAGGAGGGCTTCTCAGACCTCTCTGGGGAGTGGTCAGACCTCAGTATGAAGACATTGGCAGTAGTTAGCCCTAGTGGGATATACCCTGCATGGCTGAAGAAAGGGTTTGAGCTAAAGGTTCAGTCCCCATCCCAGATGGCAGTGGAGGGTCTCAGCACCCTCCCATTGCCCATCTTCCCAGAAGCCCAAGCTCTAGCCCTACTCTGGAGAGGGCCTGTCTGTCCCAGCCTGCAACATCCCAACCTACCTTCCAAGTCTTAGAGGTCCTTGCCCACCACTTTGGGTTTGTTAAGACACCAGGTGCATCTCCCAATCACCTTTGGCCTGGACCTCCAGTCCCCTCAGGTACCTGTCCAGGGCTAAGGCCACATATGGAGGCTGAAGAAATTCCTGAGGCCGAGGCATGCTGGTCTCCACACTCTACTTTAAACCACTCCTGCTGGCTCATCAAGCCTTAGTGCAGCTACCACACACAGGTAGGATGCCTTAACCGCTGCTGTGGTCGGAGGTCCATCTCAACCTGAGATGTGCCTGAAGCAGCTATGGTCTCTGGTCCTGTTATCATGGTCCATGCTGCAGCCTCATAGCGGGTTGTCCCCCTACTCCTCAGACCCGGGCCCCCAAATTCTCTCCTCCCAATTTGGCATACCCCCCCAGACTGAGACGGTCCAGCCGTGGCCAGCTTCTGTGAGCACAGTCACGAGCAGCTGGGGTCCCAAGGAGGAGCTCCCCAAGGCCCAGATCCAGAGACTTGGAATGTTCAATGCAGGAGCCAGAGGGCTGCACTGTGATGATCACGTGGCCAGTCTGGGTTCGTGGAGCCCAGGGAGGGGCCAGCCCTGGACCCTTCAGCGGGTAACTGTTGAGGAGGGCAGGTAACCCGAGGCGAGGATTAGCAGGCTCTGAACGCAGACTCCGCACTGACGGGACGGGTGAGGTACCCCGACGCGGGGACAGGTCCCAACTTTCTGGCTCCGCGCAGCCTATGGCTAGGGGAGTCCTTGGGCCAGGGCTGGGAAGGAGAGCGCAGTCCCAGCTGGGGCCGTCGGGGGGCCGGAGGGCCTGGTCCCGTAGCACCCCCTGGCGGAGTCGTCGCGTCTCCAAGTCTCGGTTCTCATAGAGAAGCGTGTTGGCACAGATGAATACAAACAAGCCGACGCCCATGATCACTGGTCCAAGCAGCCGTAGCCGCTCGTGCGGGCCATGACCCCGGCCCGCGCCGCGACCCTCGCGTCGCAGCTCACTAACAGGGGGTGAGCTGGCATTGGCGGCCCGGGGCCCCGGGGCCCCGGCACGGTGCGGCCAGTAGCCGGCCACTGCGATGCCCATGCCCACCAGCACCACGAGCGCCCCCAGGGCGGCGAACGCCCCCGACGGCGAGCGCAGCCGCAGCCGCGCCCGCACCCGCAGAGGCTCGGGCGGAGAGCGCGGGCGCCGGCGGCGGCCCAGGCGGCGGCCCAGGCGGGAGACGCGGCCCTCGGGGCTCCTCCGCATCTCCCCGCAGTCTCCCGGGCTCCCGGCTGTCATCTCGCTGTCGTCCGGGCGCTCTGCGGAGAGAAGACAGGAGGCGGGGCTGAACCGACGGGCCTAGGTTCGGGGCTCCGGGCTCGGGGGTCTAAATCCGGGATGGGAGCTCGGGCCGCCTCGCCCTGGCCGCTTGGAGATCCCTGGCGGCCACCCCCGGATTTTCCCGGGCTACGAGGCAGGGAGCCGCCCCCGCTCGGGTTTTCCGCAGCGGAGCTCGGAGCCAGGGACGCGCGGCAGAAGCCCGAGTTGGCCCGGCCCGCGGGCGGAGAGGAGGGCGGGGGCTGCGGGCTGCTCCCTGGCGCAGGCCGGGTCGCGGGGCTCCGGCAGTCTGCGCCCTCTCTGCCTGCCCGCGGGTCCCGGGCCTCGGAAGGCATGAGGCCCCCAGCAGCCGCGTCTCGGGGTAAGTACGGCCGGGGTCGACCCCACCCCCGCACGTGGCTGCGCCGTAGTAACGGAGGGAGGGGGCGCTCAGACCGCTGGGTCCGCAGGGGTCGCTCGCGCGCTCCACCCCCCCCCCCCACTGCGCTTTACATACCGCAGCGTGGGAAGGAGGGGGTGTCACCGACTCCAGCCTCTCCTTGCCCGCCCCCTCCTTCCAGACTTCCTCAGTCAGCACCGGAGCTGTAGCAGGAGAGACTTGAGATAGACTCCGGGAAGACCGCTCTGATCAAGACCAGCCAGTCAGAGGAGGCGGCGGCGGACTTTGCCCAGGATCTCTTTCAACTCCTCCAGAAGAGGCCTCCCCCTCCCCCAGCAGCCAGGCTGGGACCTTGGCCGGAGGCAGGGGGCTGCCAGTGGTGGGCGCAGGGCCTCACCGGACAGACTCTGCTCTCGGCTCTCCGGTCGGCCCAGGCAAGGCTATTCCTAGGTTGCGGCGTTTCCGATTCGGGCTGCTTGGGATGAATCATCCCCCTTTCCCGCCGCCTGGCCTCCTTTTCAGCCTCCTCCGCCCGAGGCCTCAGTGGACCGCGTCCCAGCCAGAGCAGCAACGCCCAGAGCCCCAGGGTTCGGGCTGCACAGCTTAAACCCCTCCCAGCTACAGGATGTGCTGGGTCTGCGACCTGAGGACCAGATCCCGGCCGGGACAGGAGCAGCAGGGCTATAGGTGATGTGGGCCCCACCGAAGGGAGGGCGCGGAACGACACGCAGCCCCCATCCAGGCCCCAAAAGAGGAGAGTTAGGACTCGCTGTCCTGGAGTGCGTCCTTACTCCCCCACTCTGATTTCTAAGCAGCTGCAGCCCTGAAGGCATAGCCAAGCCTCAGGGAGGAGGATTTGCCACCCTGCCCACGCCCCAGCCGCACCCCGAAGCCCAAAACAGGACACCATTCCTGCCTCGGACAGCACTGCCCCAGGTCCGAGGCCTAGATAGAGTCGTAGCGTCTACCGCGTCCAAAGACTGGTTTTCATAGGTGGAAACTGCGGCCTGACGGGGGTCACACCGCCACACGAGGCGGGGGCTCCATCTCGGCCGACGCCGGGCTCCTGACCCTACCCCTGGGCATGGCACACCTCTGGGCATAGCCACAGGCGCGTCCAGGGAGCAGGCGAAGCCCATTACCCCCTTATCCCTGGGTATGGAACCTTTTCCCAGTCCAAGACAGCAGTGACCACCTCTTCTCAAGCTAGAGCTGGCGCCCCAACCCCAACTCCTGAAAGGTCACTCCTGAGCCCGGGCCAGTCCCTGCCAGGAGGCGAAAGCATGCAAATCAGAGACTCGTGGACATGTTCAGAGACCCCAAGACTGGTGGGCTTGGGACGACGCTGAGGACCCCATGGAGGCGGAAACTAGAGTCACAGCCGGATGATCCCAAGGCGCGGGAAGTTGTTCACAGCCCCATACTCCGGGGTCCCGCCACCGTCCGCGTACCTACTCCGGCCTGGGGAAAAGGAAGGACCAGGATCCCGCCCCTGTACCTCTCCCGAGGGAGGAGCCAAAGAAAGTTAGGGAAAGTGGGTGGCGGGCCCGTGGCTCCTGTCCTGCTCACCTGGAGCTGCCGCGCCGGAGTAGGTCCGGGTCCGAGTCCGCGCGCCGCGGTTCCCCGCACCTCCTAGATCTCCACGGAGCCCCGCCCCGGCCCCGCCCCGCGCCGCTCGGCCCCGCCCCCGCCGGCTCCGGAGCCCCCCGAACCGTCCGACCCGCGCGGCGCTGCAGGAAGGCGCAGTTTGGGTCTGAGGGCGGCAGGTAACCGCTGTGTGCGCGCCTGGCGACTCCGAGGGCCCGCGCCCGACTCCCCACCCTGGCTCCAGCTCATGCAGCACGCAGGGACCTGGAGGGTGCCCCTTCCCCACCGGAGCCTCTGCCCAGACCCTCAGCCCGGGGAGTCCACGCCCGCCCCTCCTGTCCCCAGAGCCCTCCTTTCTTCGCCGGGAGGCGGCCGAGCCCGACCCGCCCTTCCGCCGTGCGAACCTCACTCCTTCGTCTGCCAAACAGGCACCACGTCGTCTGCCTTTCAAGGCATCGAGAGGCGACAATCAGACGTTGGGGGCAGGGCCCACCACCCAGGGCGCAGCCTGGGCCACCCGAGCCCTCGATGGACATCAGCCACGGTGGCCGCAGCAGGGACAACCGGGCTGGGAAGGAGAAAATCAAGCAGGGTGTCGAGGGTCCGGCCTCAGTCGCGCCCACTTCTGGCGGGGAGCTGCGCTGGCCCCACTGAGGAGGCAGTGCTGAGGGCCGCGGCCACCCGCCGACGACGCGCCGGGGCCCGGCTCCTTGCCCACCCGCCCGGAGGAAGAACGCGGAGCGGAGCGGCGGGGGCCGGGCGGGCGGCCAGTTTCCATGATGCGCGGGGCGGGCTCGAGGAGGGGCGCTGCGGGCCGGCTTCCAGGCCCAGCGGCCCGGCCGGGCCCCTCGGGAAGAATTTCCGGCCTGGGATTGATTATAACCCGCCCCTCTCCTGGCCGCGGGACCCCCGGGCTCGTGGGGCAGAGGCGAGGGGGATGGGCAATAATGAGACCCGGCTGTGCGCCCCAGCCGGGGACAAGACTCGAGGAAGTGATGGGGAGGGGCCGGGTCCCCGAGCCGCTCAGCCCAGCCAGCCTCGAACCCGGCCTCCGGCTTTGTGCAGCCGACCGAAAGCATCAGCGCCCCCGAAGGCCTTTCCGAGCCCCCGGGAACCAGGCATCCTCGGGAGGGACCCAGGCCAACCCCGGACGGAGGTTCCTCCCGAGGACCGAGGGAGCACCAGCAGTCCCCAGGTGGCCACAGTGCGTGAGGCCGAATCCCGCTTCCCCGGCTTCGCCCTGCGGCTCTAAGAGCCAGGTTAAGGCCCGGTTCCTGCCTCCTGAGGACTGAGTTGCGAAGAGCTCTCTGGCTTGCTCGCAGAGGCGCGGCCTCCCTCCTGCCTCCTGCCTCCTCCCTACTCTCATCTCCTTCGCTTTCCTTTGCTCTGGACCACCCCCAGCGACCCACTCCCCACACACTGCCTCAACCACGCCCCCACTCCTGCCTCCGAACACGCGGCCCTGTCAGGGCTCACTGCTCTTCCTAGGGACACGAGTTCTGGGGGGAAAGCCTGGACCGTCTCCCGCCCTTGCTGACCTCTCCTCTGGTGATGGCTGTACCACTTTCTCCTCCACCGGCTCCTGGGGCTCGCACCTTGACTGGTTTCCTCTCTCCCTGGTGGTGGGAATCTTCCACCTGGGCCACAAGCCCAGCTTCACTCTCAGCAGCTAGACACCTCTCTGGCCCCGTGGTGACCATCCCCTGTCCCACTCCTTCCCTGTCTCCCCTTCACAAAGTCCCACTGTCACCAGAGTACACTGGTACACTAGGTCACCTTAGGCTGCTGCTGTTTTGTTTAGTTTTCAATTATTATTGCTGTTTTTCCATGTACATGACAGTAGAGTGTATTCTGACATATTAGTATCACTTACTCCTATTAGAATCAGGCTGCTTTCTCCCCCACCCCTTCATCCAGCAGTCCATCAAGTCTTGGAGACTGCCATTTTCATCTGGAATCAACCTCTTATCCCTTCCCCATGGCCATGCTCCTGGTCCAGGCCACCCATCTGGTCCGGGCCATCAACCTCCTCTGCCTGGAGAAGGCATAGTCTTGCCACCTCTTAATCCCTTCTACCCTTCTGCAGACAGGCACCCAGCATCTTTCTACCCTGAATCTGACCCTGTAATTACCTACTTAAAACCCTCAGTGGCTCCCTGTGTTGTCCAGATACAGTTTAAAATTCCTTCTTGTCTCACAAACTGGCCCTTGGACCTCTCACACTGCTCCCTCCTGGGTGGCTGAGCTTCTTTCTGTCTGTCCCCAGACCCTCTGTGCTCTGGCTTCCAGGCTTGGCAGGATTCTGGCTGTCAGGAGCATCTATTTCCCTTGCCACCACCTCCTCCTCCTTCAGAGCTATGGGCCTTCTCCTAGCCCCTAGGCCAGGCTAGCCCCTCCTTTACCCTTCATGACATGTCCTCATGTACCAGAAACTTCCCTGTGCACAGCACAGATGAACTGAAACCATCATTTTCAATTGAGTCCATTTGTTGTCTGTGGCCATGACGGGTTGGTCTTGCTTATCTCTGAAGCCCTGTGCCCAGCATGATGTCTGCTCACCGCTGGCCCTCTCCCCCTTGTTAGAGGAATGTGTGCAAGGCCTGTCTCTCTTACTCTGGGACCCTTTCCTACTCTCCACCCCTAGGGCCCTGACCCAGGAGCAGAAGGAAAGGGGTTCTGCAGAGGCTCAATTTCTTCATCTGTAAAAGGACAAGGAACTATTTCCCTCCTGGTATTGTTTTGAAGGCTGAATAAGAGTACACATGCTCTGTGCCTGGTGCAGACGGGCGCCAGCCAACAGCCCCTCCTTCCTATAACCATGGGGTTTCAGACACAGAGGCCAGTGCATGGGGTTGTTCAGGGTGGCAGGGGGCGGAAGGGGTTCTTTTCCCCAGATATAACCTTGTTTAATTCTGTTGAGAACTCTGGGAGGTCAACGTTATGCCCAGTTTTGGGATGAGAAACTGTGGCAGACGCACTTGCCCATAGACCCAGC